TAATATGATACCACACACATGGTGAAAGCAATTTCTATTCAAACGATATCTTAAAAATTGATCATCATTAGTTACACACGGTGGCCATTTTGAAAAATGGCCGCCATTTTTTTTCAGCAGCATATTTTCAAGGTTGTCTACCTGGAAGTTGTTCATGCCCGCCGCACACGGTGAACTATCTGCTGAGCCAACGGCCTCAAGAGGCCGTTGGCTCAGCAGATAGCTCAGCGTGTGCACGCAGATTCTGCACGATTTTTGGCCTCGCGTGGCTGTTAGACCGATATCTATCGTGTTTGATATTTGTGGCCACGCGAGGCCAGAAACTCAGCGTGTGCGGGCTCCGTGAGCTATCAGCTCAGCCACAAATATTTACCGACCAATGAAAGTGCAGGAATAGGGCATGTGATTTAAAATGTTCACACGCACGCACGCACGCACGCACGTGTACGTGCACATGCACGCGCGTGTACGTGCCCACACACGGACGCACGCACGCACGCACGTGTACGTGCACACGCACGCACACACTCATGTACGCATGTGTACGTGCACACGCACGCATGTACGCACGCACGAACGTGTACCTGCACACGCGCGCACACACGCACGCACGCACGCGCGCACGTGTACGTGCACAATCACAGAATCTACAGAAAAGTAGAGTTTTCTGCTGTTCAGTGGGCGCCGACATTTTAAATCACATGCCCTATTCCTGCGCTTTCATTGGTCGGTAAATATTTGTGGCTGAGATGATAGCTCACGGAGCCCGCACCACTGATCTCTACTATACTAACGTTAGTATAGTAGAGATCAGTGGCCCGCACACGCTGAGTTTCTGGCCTCGCGTGGCCACAAATATCAAACACGATAGATATCGGTCTCACAGCCACGCGAGGCCTGGCTCAGCAGATAGTTCACCGTGTGCGGCGGGTTTAAGGGAGGTCTCCTGAACACGTTGATACCAAACAACCTTTTATAGCATCCCGGTTCTGGTAAACCTGTCTTGCCCCCTTTTTATCCGTGTCATTGAAAATGTCGTGTAGTAAAGCCAGCATCGTTTTCTTTCGTCGCAGGCCGACAACTTGTGAAACGCTATTGCTATCTGGAGCCGATCGATGCCGAGTTTACGATGGCTGACCAGTGTGTGACATATCAGCGACCCGGCTACACCACCGAGGTCTGCTACTGCAGTGAAGAACTCTGCAACTCAGCAGCCACACCCTATACGGCCATCGCTCTTGTTATGTCCACTCTTTCCATGCTCGCTGTGCAATGCTTCTAGGCAGACTTGTGAGTTGTGACACTGTGATCCATGGCAGGAAAGTAAGGAGCTGACACATGGTGGACGCGGGAGACTCAGTAAACACACATTAACTGGAGTTCTACTTCCAAAGTTGATGCAGTGGTTATGCCATTCCGTTATTTCAAATAACATTCCATTCATAAGGGTGTGTAGTTGTATCCCATGAATAAAAATGATTCGGTTTGTTACATTTTGAGGTTGTAACTGTTGTGGTCATTCTGACGTTTTCGCATATGCTGAAGGGGGTTTGTAAGTTCATGGGGCACTGCCCCCTCTGGCATTGAATTCGTTATAGACATAACATGCTACTCGATTGCATTCTAAGAATAAAGTACAAAATATTGATGGCATGTATTAACAGTCAGATATCTGACCATGTGCAAGCTTCCTCTTGAATGCAGCTTCAAGTCTATTAGCAGGAACTTGTGTCCCTGCAGAATATTTTCGTTAACCGAATCTGTTGGCATAGGTTGCAGCTTTAGTTGTTAGGAATGGTCGGATTCAGTTTCAGGCTCCTCTGGAAGCTGACAACCTCTTATGTGACATTTTATAATGAGAAAATGAAAACAAATATGTATATAGTATGACATTTTGTATGTTTACATTTTATTACGCTGTGATGTAATGCAATGTTTAGTTATTTTACAATACGGAGTGACTTTAGTATTTTTATATGTATTTCGTGAATTGATATTCATGAAATAGGTCACGAACACAATCCATTCAAAAACGCCTATCTTGTCGTCATTTGCACTGTTGCACTGTTGTAATGTATGTAGATGTTAATATAGTTCTGGTTTGGTTTTTATGTCGTGTTGATACAAATCAACTGTCTGTTATAACATTTTATTAATATTGTATGTGACATGCTATTCCATCCAACTATGATTGTATAAATCATTGCTGAAGTGTTAGGTAGAGAATATGAAACAAAAAATGTGCTGGAAGTGAAAGTACCATAATGTAATTCGCTTATTTGCCTGATGCGATTGGCAGGCAGTTATATTAGTTATAACTAATCATTGTAGCGATATGATGTTCAAGAATTAATGCTATGCGACATAGTGCCACAGAGTTGACATTTTTCCATGCACGTATTAAAATCATGTGACTGGCGTAGGTTGATCAACCTAACAAGAATATCGAATGTATGTATGCGGACTTAGCCTTATAGAATGATTTTAGTATCCTATCGTCCATCCGTAATGTCCGTCCCGCCATTTATGTGCCTGTCTGTGTTTTTGTGCAGCCACCTAGCTCTTTATACGCACCGACAATATATGCGCACTGTTTGTGCCTTCCATGTTTATACTCATTACGTTTAGGGGTATAACGCCACAATAAATAAATAAATATATATATATAAGTGTTGCAAGAGAAACTGCCACTCTGCCTCGTGCAATAGCAGCACACATGATGCAAATGACCTTGCAATTTACAGGTTGAAAACGTATGGCCATGATATCAAGTGCCTATCAATTAACTGACAAATTAGTTGATATGCTTTTTGTTAAATGTACTGGTATGCAAAGATCATGTAGTTGCCTAGACGTTGTCAAAAAGAACAGGTCAGATGACTACTGTATATTTTTGCATTGTTTGCATTTTTACCACAGCACCAATTTCATCCCGTTTTACTGTTAATTAAAATAATTTTAGCTATTTTTGAGACGTGGTAGTTACCGTAATCATCGTGTAATATACGTACGTTAAAGCTATTCATGGAGATGTCTGCGATGTGAACTGTACAATTTTAGTCAATGAATTTTTCGGTGAATGTGCAATTTACTCACTTTGATCATGATTTGTTAATTAATTGCTTAATTATTCGATCATATCAATTTTCATTATTTTGTTTATACGTCATACAAAACATCTTTGGATACAGGTTTTTATACCTTTTTTTTATTTTTTATTTCAACGGCATACTGTTCTGCTGAACAACTTGTTACACGTACACGCCCCTATACAACGACTTCCCCTTTGGGAAACACTTTTTTCGTCCTGATGGGATTCTGAAATTCCAGAAGTATGGCTTTGAAGCTTCTTTGCTTATAAACCCATCACTCGCTTTATTATTTATTTGTGTGTGCATTTGCCAGTATTACAATACTGATTGTTTCATCATCGGAAGTTACAAACGTGAGAAATAAGGGATAATACTAAATGAAAACATTGGGTTATGATCTGGCAAAACCTAAACGGGAAAGCCATTTGAGAAGCACATATACTCTTTTTGACAAATCGGAATTGTGGGCTGTAATATTTTGAGCTCAGTGTTCAGTATGTCGTGCTGTTTTCTATATGCATTTCTAAATGTGTAATCAACTTGGTCTCGGGCAATTCGATGTTTTAGTGATTGAATTGTTTCCACACTGATTATCTGTACTGCCGAGGTAATAGCTAGATATATATATATATATGTCCTAGATTTTATTGCATCAAACGTAGTTCAAATATTGTTGTCTTGTAACGTGTATGTTCTGCTGTTTTTAGCTCGCCTTGACATCGTCAAGATGAGCTATTGCCATGGTGTGTCGTCCGTCGTCCGTCCGTCCGTCAACATTTGGGTACGGTCAACGATTACTAAAGAACCGTTTGACCCACATGTTTCAAATTGCATATAGTTGTTAGTCCTATCTGAGAGGTTTGAACGTCCTATTTTGGAGCACGCCAGTCGACCTACATTCGAGCCACGTCCACTTTTTGGCAAAAATGGAAATGGCCATAAATCAGTTCAGGTTCAATGGATTTTGCTCATTTCTGGTATGTGAATGAATGAGGACTGGCCCCAAAACATATCACACAGGTTTAGATTTTTTTTTAATTGTGCAAATTAGGTAGATTTTGGTAATTTCACTATGCATTTCAGTGTCTGCCTACAGTGAACGATAACTCAAGAACCGTTTGACCCACATGTTTCAAATTGCATACAGTTGTTACTCCTATGGGAGGGATTTGAACGTCCTATTTTGGAGCCAGTCGACCTACTTTCGAGCCATGCTCACTTTTTGGCAAACATGAAAATGGCCATCTAGATTCATTTGATTTTGTTTAATTTACCTACCTACCTAATCATACCTATACGTGTAATATTGTGTTTTAGATTCGTTGTTACAGTAATTTGACTGGAATATTTTATTGCTTATATTTGCGCGATAATCGAAAACCAAAATGGCGATCATTTAGGCGTAGCGCAATCTCTCGCCTAGATTTCAGACTTTCAGATCTGAAACATTTATTTTCGCATCAAAACTAACCCTGAAACAAAACAGTGACATTTCTATTCGTATAAAACGGAGAATACGTAAGGACATTTGATCACATTTTGGTCCGTCATAAATGAAACACTTACCAAATTTTAAATATCATCTCCCTCTTCTATCACACCCAATGTGAGCTATAGTGTCATTGACACTTTCATTTTAGTGTATAATCAAGTTCGTCTCGGGAAATTTGTCATTTTAGTTATTGGCTTTTTTGCATATTGATTGCCTGTAATTTCGATATAGTAGATGCATGTACTGGTTTATAGTGTATCGAACCCATTTTAGTTAGTAAGGTGCCCTTCGTTTTATGCGGTTCGAAACAATTCCTGTGAATAAAACGTATACTGAATAAAATTTTCGATATAATCTATTCTGTATGGCTATTGTAAATTTTTTCGATTTTTACCAGATTTCGTCTGATATAACTAACTATGATTAATTCATGGAAGAATATCAGGAAGTAATTGAGCTCAGTTTATCAGTTATGATTAATTTTTCTTTATTTATTTGTTTATTCGTGTATTTATTTTGTTTGTTGGTTGGTTGGTTCATTAGAACTTCTTAGCACGTGGATTGTTCAAATTGTAATAAAAGCACTAAATTTGGCACACTTGTGCGCACAGGGCACTGCAAATTAACCGCCCCTTAAAAGAGAGTGTTACCGTTTTTTAACGGCCGCCATGAAATTTTTAAATACATTTCTTTGGTCTTAGTATTACTTATACTTTGTATTTCCGTGTCTAATTGACATTTTATAGTAGTTGAAAATGCTCTTATATAATTGAGTGAAATTCGCTGTTATGCCTTATGGCTTTGAGACATGGTCGCGATGATCTAAATTTTGATGAAAATAATTAGAAATATAATATGTAAATAAACTAATGTAACACTAATTTTTGCAAGTATGTCTAAAAACATGGTGGTGGAGGCGGGAAGTGTCTATAGTGTCAATTTTCCTCCCATTATCGCTACCTTATTCTGAGATTGTCAGAAATATGCCTTATTTCGTAATGGGACAGTATTGATAAGGAGTCAGCGTAACCCGAGCTGATTCTCATTGCCTACAGTGTGTATTTTGTTGTTGTCATTCCACTTTGTCGAGTTATATACGCACCTCGCCGCTTGTGCAAGACATTCTGTATTAGGCTTTTCTTGAACCCTTCTTTTGCTATAGATTGATCATGCTTTTATGTGTTTTCCTTCCGTCTTGCACAGAGTGACAAACTGCACCAGTGCCCTATTTTCATGCATTTGTTTGACGTGCCCGCTTCGCGCCTCTTTGCTTACGACACGGTTCACACATTTGCGCACACTTGGCATAAGCTTCACTCGATGCTCGATAAGGGTTTTTTAAATAAGGGCGTCGTACATTAGTCAGTTGGAAAGCAGTTTATCTCCTAGACCTCAACCTTGCTACTGATACTCGCAAAGCTGTAAACGTACCTCCAGGCCTACAACGGATAAATTGCTGCAGATGGAAAAACACAACACGGTCTGCATACAGAAACAGAACATGACCTGACCCTGTTAGTGCCCGAAAGGCGTAGAAATGTGCAGGAGGTTTGTGACGTGAATGATGAATGAACCGATACGAGAGGTGGTACGGGAGAAGGGGGACAGGAGACGGGAGAGGAGGGGCGGGAGACGGGAGTAGGGAGGCCAGTGGGCGGGAGGATTTTCATCCAAAACAAACTATTATACTATGTTGTACGCGTGAATGAGAGAGAGAGAGTTGAGAAAAAAAACTAAGTTGAGAAAAATAAAAGAAATCCATAGCACGAGAAATAAATACATGAGAAAATACATTGTGCAGGATTAATACATTTATTACGCAAACTGTCAGAGAAACTAAGTGACATTCAAAAATGAAAATGCAATAGGCCCTATATAAAGGATCCTGGAGGCAGACGTCCCAAGTGTCCCGGTCTCACCGGGATCGTCCCGGTGCGACATGCTGGTCCCGGTGTCCCGTTAAAGTCCAGAAAGTCCCGGTCGTAACATTTTCAGCCATATTTTAACATTTACATCAGTACCTTACTAAATTTGCCGTGGTAGTTGGTATACTTTAATTCCAGCGAACAATAAAAGGCCACAAATAATTTTGAAACCATAAATTAACATTAATTTGCGTTTTATTTTACATGTATACTTTATAAAAAATGGTGGTGCGCCGCAACAAACACATGTCGCAGCCCGCCACAACTCTTTCCCTGTATTTGCGCACCGCGAAAAAACGGCGATGGACCATTATCACAAGTGATCCCTTTCTTGGATTTTCCCAACTTGGGACCTCTGTGGAGGTGTTGAGGGAGGGGGGTGGAAGGAGAGGGTGAGGGAAGCGGGAGGAAGACAACCCCCGGTACCACCTTCATACAAGAACAACGTCTGCAAAGGGTTTGCTAATGTTTGCGTGTAGATGGCGCCAGCAGACAATAAATTTAGCGTGCTGCAAGTCACCCGGCACGTCATACGGCCAGCAAATGCAAACACCGGCCCATTTTCTCCCTAGTGTGACTATTGTAAATCGCTTGTCATATTTTGTCTTTTCCTAATGGTCGTACATCATGATTGTGGCGATCATTTTATTGTTAGTGATTCACTCATCCGGCCGAATGATACATAGCATCATATTGGCTATTGGAGACCTTGCCGCTGGCGACATGTTATCTCAAAATATATGAGACCGC